GATTTTAACCCAGAGGGTCTCCAGTCATCCACCCTGGTCACCAATATCAGCTTGCAGGGACGCATAGCTTTCCTTAACATAGAGAGCTACACCCCCACCCTTTTTATCTATATGATCCCTCCTGTATAGGGTATAGCCATCTATACCTGTGGTCCAGTCATGGTGGAGTCCCACCAGGTCTCTGTTATCCCTATGACATCATAATTATTTGCATTTGCATTCCCCAAGCTTCTGGCATTTGTGTACAGGCAGGCAAGTGTCCCCTTGGGGGCTCTTGCCTTGCCCACAGATTGTACCAGGGCTGGGGCAGGGGTGGGCTCCCTTAAGTGCCTTGGCCTGCTGGCTTTGCAAGGGTTGCTCACTGGGGCAGCAGTGGCAGTAGTCCCCCCACCCCCCAGTGGGCTTAGTTTAAAGCCCAGTGGAGCAGGTCAGCCAGTCTGGCTGAGAAGAGCCTCCTCCCCAGGGGAGAGAGGTGGAGGCGATCTCTTCCCAGCAGCTCGTGGCCTCTCTCGCCAAAGAGTGGGCTGTGGTCATGGAAGCCAAAGCCTTTCTGATGACGCCAGCGCCACAGTCTTTGGTTGACTACGTGGATCCTCCTCTCCCTCCTCAGCCCATACACTGAGACTGGGAGGATCAACGAGAGCACCACCTGTGCCCCCAGACCCTTTAGCCCCACTCCCAAATCCCTGTAGTGCCTCATGACCCAGCTGGGAGCGCTTTGAGCCATGTCATTGGTGCCCAAATGAATAAGGAGCATGGGATAGTGGTCTGTGGGCTGGAGGAGCTTAGGGATCCTCTCCGCAATGTCCTGGATGCAGGCCCCCAGGAAGAAGCAGACTTTCTGGGCTAAGAGGTTGGGGTGGCAGATTATCCCCTCAGTCCTCCTCAGGATAGAAAAAAAAAATTGTTTTTACAGCACCCGGGATTACCAGGTGGTCTCCCATCCAGGTACTAGCCGGCCCCAGGTTGAGCACCTCTTCTCGTGAGCACCTCTTCTTTGGTGCAGAGCTTCTTCAGCATCTATGGAGTTGGTGGAAAACGAAGATGCTGAAAGCTGTAATGAAAGAGGGAAGTGGAACAGATCAGTCTGGATAGGCCATGCACAAATACTCTTCTAGTAAGCATTTGCTCTGTGCCAGTGTGACATACTGGGTGTGTCTACACAAGATGTTATGTCGTCAGCTGGTCTTCTACACTACATAGCATCAGCTGGCCTTCTACACTACAACAACATAGCATCAGCAGGCATGAACCGCGATGCTGATGCTACTGTGCAGTAGCAAAGAGCTACTGCGCAGTAGTATTGGAAATGACCCATACACTGCCAGGACTGTGCAGTAACAGCTGTTACTGCTTAGTCATTTAGTACTTGCTTTAGCATTTAGTAAGTACTAAATAATTGCGCAGTAACAACTGCACAGTCAGGGGCATGTGTAGACACACCCACTGGATACTGGGCTAGATGGACTTGTGATCTGATTTGGTATGCCATTGTTTATGTTCAGGAATATGTAGCACTGCAGATTTTGGCCTTGACCTGAGCCATCTTAACTCTTCTAATCCCAAGAATCTAACAGGATTTTGGGGCGGGTTCCCCATGGTTATACCTCTGGGTGATGGAATAAATGAGCTCTAACACTGCCAGTAAAGTCATTTTACAGATTTTGTAACAGCACTTTTACAAAGTTACTTCTTTGGGTGGAGTTAAAATTGCATGTCCTTCCCTATATTCACTTACCATTTTTCCCCACTGCATCTTTTTGTATTCCAGGGAAACCTGTTTGTTTATAAGCAATATCTTTTAAAAAATTATCCAAAAAATTCTTTTTTTATGAGTAGTTTGACAACATTTTAGATATTTTGCCCTTGAGACCAACATTGCTATTGTACATAGTGTAGAAGAAGTGTGAAAATGAGTGTGTGCATTTTCTCTTATTATACTTTAGTAGAATCATTACTTGAAGGAGAAATATAACTAAATCAATTACAGCTTTGGGAGCTAATAGTTGCTTTTTGTCATAAATTTTGTAATGCTACTAATTCAGACACACTGAAAAAACATTACTGCCTTGGATATATGATTTGTGGAGAAATTCGTATTTGATTTTTATTGTTACAAAGACTATTATTCCCTCTATCCTATTTAAATAGAACTTTGTTTCTAAAGGCAAATTCTGTTGGTGTATCATTTTTTATAAGTGCTTTATGACTACAGATAGTAACTATGTATTTAGCAAACAATATTTGTTTGTGTTTGCTTATTAAAAAGTTAATTTTTGTTACTATGAAAAAATACCCAATCAATGATTACTTTTATTTCCTTCCACAGAATATAGATTTACCTAACAAAGAAAATGAGAATTACACAGCTTCTGTTCACCAGCTGGAAAGTGAGAATGAAAGGTTACAAAGTAAAATTGTTAAATTACAGAATGATACTGAAACATCGTTACTGCCTAGGTTGAATACATATGAAGAAACAGAGTGTACCAACCAAGCCCAAATGGAAGAAAAGGAAGAGAGGTAAAAGTTAGGGTCCCACAGACAAATTAATCTTTCCGTAAATGTTTTAAAATGTTTTACAAAGAGGCCAAACCCAAATTTCCTTACTCAGCTTCTATCCACTTAAAACTCTCAAAGAGCTCAGCAGACATAGAACAACACTGAATTCCCATATATATTCCTATTAACTTTACTATTATTTTTTTATGTTTTCAGTACTTTTAAAAATAATTTTATTTCATATATATTCCTATTAATTTAACTATTATTGTCAAGGCACCCCACAGAAAACAGTAGCTTTTCATTTTCACTTGCTTTTTGGCTGCAAACAAATAATAGAGCAATTCTGTTGCAAAGAACACAGATCACAACAGGTCAGAATGTTTTGAAAATTATAAATTCCTATTTGAAATCTCTGGGCTCTTGTACACGTGATGCTATCACCATGTACACATGATGAAAACGCCACTTTGTTTGGCATAATGGTGTCACACTGGCCAAAGAAAGTGATGGGGATGGTGCATGAGGCCCTGGAAGCCTGGATGGGCTTGAGGAAGCATTGGAATGGATGCCTCTGAGCTAGAGCAGCACCCAGCCAGCTACTAGCCTGCCTGGGCAGCCCCACACCCTGTGCACTATCCCCACCACCTTCTCCAGCCACCATCAAACTCAGCTACCCTCCTGCCTCCTTCCCAAACTGCCCCAGGGGCAAGCCAGCCTGTTCCCAGGCAGCCCCAGATGTCCTGTCAGCTGTAGGAGCCTGCTGAAGGCAGAAGCAGAGAGGGGCCTGATCCATTTTTTTTTTTTTTTTTTTTTCCTTCAGTGGAGCCTCCCCACCTCTCCTGTGGCCGGAGGGCAAGCTGCCAGTGGGCCAAGTGGTCCCTGAGCTATGGGAGACCCCAGTCCTTCCTTCCATGGTAGCAGCACCCCCCAGGGCCATCCAGACAGGCTGCTAGCAGTCTGGGTGCTGCCCTAGCTCGAATTCGGTGAAGAGTTGGATTGGGCCGGGTGCTGCCTCCAAGCTGGGGCAGCACCCAGCCTACTAGCAGGCTGCCCAGGCAGCCACAAGGGGTGCCACCACTGCAGAGGGCAGGACCAGGGCTCTCCACAGCTCAGGGGCCACTTGACCCACCGGCAGCTTGCTCCTTGGCCATAGCCAGGCTCAGGCAGCCCTGATACTGTAGCACCCTCATGCCCCAGCCAGCCCCGGTCACTGTCTACACGTGTGTTGTGGCAGAGTAAATAATTCCAGCATAGGATAGTACTTATATCGGGGAGAACTAAACTACAGCACAGTTACTTAGTTTACTCTGGCCTAATAGCTCCACACGTGTAGACAGTGACGCTTTACTGCAGAGCTAATTAGGCAGATGTCCCTACTGAGTCTAGTTACTTCTAACTAGAAGCATAGAAGCATATTGTGTTTCTGAGCTGGATTAAAGAATTTTGCAGGTTTTAAAAGGAATGATGATGGTTGTAATCCTTATGGTACTCCTAGGGGCCCTAGAGGAATCAGATGGAGAGTTGTTGTCTCTTTTACCTATATGCTCAAATTTAAGTCAGTAGGATTACTCCCATGTTATGTGTTAAGCGAGTTCTAAAATGGTTTGGTAGAATGGTGCCAGTATATACCTCACCTTGATGGATTGAAAAGTAGGAGAGAAATGCATAAATTGTGTAAGTAGCCTTACAATTTGAAACAAAGTTGTACATAACTTCGAAGTCTTTTAAACATTAAAAGTTCAGTAACTATGCAGTTTGCCCATATCTTTAAAGGTATTTAGGCACTTAACTCCCATTGATTTCACTATTCTACTTTGTAGAAATAATTTAATATGAACTAGAACAGGGATTTGAATATAACTCTGACAAATCCTAGGTAAGTATTCTAACCACTGGGTTACAGAAGCATATGTCTCTATAGCTGATAGATACACACACTGATATTTGGTAATTATATGCTGTGGAAAAGCTTCTGCAAAAGATTACCTTGTTAGGGCAATTTTGTGGGATGAAGGACATATGGAGTCAAGTCCCTGATCTAAATGAGGGAAAGAAGAGATTTGCGAAACAGGTCTTTCAGCAATCAGATGACTGCCCCAAAAACTGGACAATTGACTAAAAGGACCAGGGAGGAACCACTGTCTCTTGCTTAGTTTTTTCAGGGAGAACTGGCTTGGATATCTAACCTAACCTCTACCTACAAGAGTAGGTTCAAATTTGAATATACATATTATTCACTCTTCTCTGTCGCTCTCAGTTACATTTCTCATCAGAGTATGTAACAGCATCATACATTCATCTGTCCTTTGTTTTCCCTGCATCTGTAAAGGGTTTTTTGTTGATAGCTTTTTTTCCAGCAGCATAACAGTGGGTGACAAAGGCTCTAGCCTCAGGTGCTGATTTTGAAGGGGCACAAGAATTACAGCAGCCACTGCTCCCAGCGCAGCTGCTACCGCAGTTACCACCATCAGCCCAGCTGCTGCCACCACCCTGGCCACCAAAACTGCTTGTTACGTCTCTAGCTTTTTCTTCAACTGTGTGCCTGGATTTAATCCAATACCCTCTGAAATGAATGACTATGAACTAGTTTGAAGTTTAGCTTGGTTTTACCTTGATTTGCTCTTAACGTATTTAGTTGCCATTGACTACTTTTAATTAAAAAGTGTATTTCATCTTGACGTCCATAGGGATAAACAATACTCTTACATTAACTAACTGAGCTTTTTCAAAAGATACTAGAGAAAGACTTGCTTAGTATACTAGATGATTCATATGTCAACATACATTACTGCACTAAGTGGTTTGCAGAATAATGCACCATCTGAATATAAAATACTAAATTCACTTATAAGTCTTAAACTGAAAAATAGCTATTTTTACCAATAAAATGAAGGTCAGACTAACAACTTGCTCCTACCTGAAAATATCTTACCCTGTTCCCTGTCTTTCCAAACATTTAGAAAGCTATTCTAAGATGCTTTTTATATCCTGTACTATATTTTACTAGCTTTTTACTCATATACTGCTAATTAGAGACATAGATTGGGAAGTATCTGAGTTGCTAAATTACTTCTATATTTATTCTACAATATGAATATGCAAGTAAATTTTACCTGAAACATTTTTCTCTAATTTCTTATATTTTTTCTGAAAGAGAGTTTTCTACAGATGCAATGTAGTGTAAATGTATTTTAGAAATGGGAAATCATAATAGTATAATAGCTCTTTCCCAGAGAACAGGTATTCTATAGAAACATGGTGGCTGTGTCCCCACGAGTGGAAACATGTGGTTTGCGGTACCTCAAAGCCTTTTGAAGCTCTGCAAAATGCATATAGTACGCATTAATCTGATACAGAAATCCTAGTATCTAAAAAAAGCAGGGGTGGCTCACATGGCTGCAGCAGGCACTGCCAGAAACCAGAGCCTGGCTGGCCAGAGCCATGCTCTGGCTGCTAGCCAGGCTCCAGGCAGCTGGATCACTGTCTCTGCAGCTCTGGGAGGCCCCTAGGATCCCAGGTAAGGCTGCTGAGGCCAGCCCAGGTGCAGGCCCCAGCCTCCCCTACCCCACCCAGGGGGTACATTACATGCCAGTACTACATTTGCTACATTACATGCCAATGTATGGGTGTGCCCGGGGACAACTAGCAGCAGCACAAATATGTGCCGCTGCTATCTGTCCCTGGGGAAATGCACATTTCCACTCATGGGTACACGCCCAGGTCTATTCCAGGGGCGGGCGATTATTTTGGGCAGAGGGCCACTTACTGAGTTTTGGCAAGCCATCGAGTGCTGCATGACAGGAGCACAAGGCAGATAAATGTTAATTTTCTAAATTTTTAGGGCCCCACAGGCTGGATAGAATGGCCTGGCGGGCCACATCTGGCCCCTGGGCCACATTTTACCCACCCCTGGTCTATTCTGTTGCTTGTAATAGCACTGGAAACAAGGTGATACTCCCTAGAAGTCTATGATGAGCACAGCGTCTTAAAAACAGCCTGAGAAAGCTTGGAATCAGACTAATAATAGGATTAATTAAAATCATAAATGTTTTAAATACAAATGTAACCTGACATTGTAAAATGTGATTAGATTTCATATGCTTCTCCATTTTATTTTATTAATTTTTACTATGATGAAGATCCAAAAGTATTTAAAATAATATAATAGTTATAGTATATTAAAGGGTGCACAAATTATAAAATACCTAGGAGACAGTAAGACAATAAAACATACAACACTGGTTTTGACATGATCTGTTGTTGACAAATGTATCTAATTTTCTTCTTTGACAGGGTAACTGGGCTAGTGAAAAGGGAATTAGTAGATATCACATGTCTTAACTTAGTAAGACTTTTGACACCGTCTCAGGAGAAATATTCATAAAAAAGCAAGAAAATGTAGTCCAGAAATAATCACCATGAACCTTATCATGATGAGATGTGTGCACAGCTGGTTGAAAAATTGCTCTCAACAAGTAATTATCAATGGTTCACTGTCAAATGAGAAGTCACTCCCAGTGAGTTCCTGCAGGTGGAGGGGGGTGTTGAGCTTGGTTCTATCCACTTTTTCTTAAGAACCTGAAAGACAAAACAGAAAGTCCACCTAGAAAAATTTTCACGTGATAAAGCTGAGAGGGATTGTTGCCAAAGGGCAATAATTTGATGACTGCATCAGATTTCAAATTGATACTGATATGGGAAAGATGTTTAAAATCAATGATAAAATTCAATGGAGATGTGTGCAAAGTGCTATACTAGGGAAATAGAAATCATATGCACAAATACAAAATGGCAGATAAGTGGCTAGGCAGTGGTATGGCAGGAAAGTATCTGGGGGTTGTAATGGATCACAACTGTATACTGTTGTAAAAAAGGCTAAGATCAATTAACGGAAGTGTCATATATAAGCAATGGGAAGTAGTTGTACACGTGGAGTAGAGTAGAATGAGTTCTCTGCTGGGTACCACACACAAGAAAAATATTGGAGACACCCCAGAGGAGAGCAACAATAAAGATAA